TCTGTGGCATGCTGTCAGATACTGCAGTCAATAATTTCAATAAACGCAAAACGTGTTTAAATTACAGCAATGCACTGGCAGTATACGCCTAGCGAATAAACATTTAAAATATGCAGCTATCAACATTGCAATTAAAGTCACAGATGTCGTCCATAAACATTTAAGTTGTAAATAATGCAGAATATTCATTTAATGTTTTCATAAATTAAAATACCTCTGATTCATCTGGTTGCAGAGACAATGCAGGGAAACAAAACTTGTTACAGTTATAGCCATGGTAACCATCACTTAGTAACAGCCATGCGTTCTATAAACAAAACACCAGTGATTCCATAGGTAGAACCCTCTTATCTGTGTCTGCCATTTTCTTTCTGGTTTTCTCTCTGTGTTACGCTCCTCTGTCCACTCAATCCATCTCAATGTGCTGTTTGTGGGCAGGGCAGGGCAGGCCAGGCTGGGGAAAGTGGTCTCGGTGAGCTCTCTTTCTCTCCAGCTAGCCTTGGAGCAGGGCCTCCATCAGTCAGTAGGCCTGGTCGATGGGGCGTCTCTCTGGAATCGATGGCACGCCTGTCTGCTTCGTCCATCCTTCTCTCTCTTCCTCTGCTGTCCAGCCGTGCCCTCTCGCCCACCCCGGTGCTGGACACACACTTAGATCTCCTCTAGCATACACATGCATGCATACACGTCTGGCCTCCCCACCAATTTGTCTGTGCACGTCAAATTGCAATAATTAAGCATTATTGATCTCAGATTCAATTAACTTCATTAACGCGGGTCAGGATAGCCGAGGAGAGATGGAGGGGAGGTGAGGAAAGGAGCGAGGGCGGAGGACGAGAGGAAAGAGGAGAAGAGAAGTGGATTGGTGCTATCTCATATTCTCCAGCCGCACACAGACAGCCTGTCTGCTTAAGGCTACAAACCATTTTCCTCCTAATGATATCACATTGCAGATAGTGGCATATTAGAGAGAGATACCTCCCATTATAAATGTGGGCTTTAGGGGCTATATATAGCAGCTTTAATTACCAACTACTTACTCTTTCACTCTCTCTAGCTCATTCGCACACCCAGAAGTATTGGACCGAGCTGCCGACTTCAACTTGTGTCTGTATAAATGAGGTGCAATTCCAAACAAGAACAAATGGAAGCACCATGAGGGGTGTTAACTTGATTCACATGCATGATCTACATTATTATGTATAGGATGCACCAAAAGCAAAAGGTTTTTTTTTTTTTTTTCATGCTTTCATTCAACAAGGATGCAATTGGTCAGCAGTAACAGTAAATGCTCTTTGCATTTTGTATCTACATTGTTTTACTTGTAAAAAAAAGTTTCCACAAATATTAAACAGCACAACTGAAGACTGGAGTAATGGCTGCTCAAAATTAAATGCAAAATATATTCAAATAGGACAAATTTTTTTAAATATTTTACAATGTTACTGATTTACTGACTGTGTTATACAGTATACTGGCCATTTAGAAAACCCACATTTATTCCTAGATCCTAGTGGACAGAGTAAAGAGATTTTGTCACATTCAATACATTTTACTTTTACTTTTGGTTGACAGTAGACATTTTTATTTTAATTAAAAAGTGTTCATTAGTTCTTGAAATCAAACAGTCACACGTGGTTGTGAAAAAGAGTCGTATTTGCATAGTTAAAGGGTTAGTTCACCCAAAAATGAAAATTCTGTCAGTATTTACTCACCCTCATGTTGTTCCAAACCTCTATGTGTTTATTTGTTCTGCCTATACACAAAGGAAGATATTTGGAAGAATGTTTTAATCAAACAGATCTCATTCCCCATTGGTAGTCAATGGGGAATGAGATCTGTTTGATTAAAATATTCTTCCAAATATCGTCCTTTGTGTTCAGCAGAACAAACAAACACATAGAGGTTTGGAACAACATGAGGGTGAGTAAATACTCACAGAATTTAAATTTTTGGGTGAACTAACCCTTTAACATTTAATCTTTTTCATTTGAGAAAAGGGCTTGTGGATTTGTTTTATCACTTTTGTATGTATTAGGGTTTTCCACTTACTCTGATATTTTTTAAAGACAGTATGTGCTCTAATAGTCCAGACCCAGACGTCCCTTTAAATTTGCAAGGTTACACTCTCCACTCCCTTAGAAAACAGCATTCTCTGCTGGTCATCTCCCTGGATGTCTGAGTGTAAATTAGATCAAGCTCTTTTTCCAATCTGATGCCAAATCATTGGGAGGTCATTCTCATTTTACCCCCACCTTGCCACTCTTGGATCCAAGCATCCTGTTTTCTAATTAAAACAGCACCTGTGTGGTGTGGGTAGGCCTGGACCACAGCACTGGCTTCTGAAGGTCCAGGGATGAAATCTCAATATTGTTCCCAGCCAGATCACATAGACTTGTAGGTACACTGGGGGCTTAGGAACCTGGAATACAGCCAGGATGTGTGTCGCAGATTGTTGGGTCTCTCTCTCGTTTTGCCCTGCCTCTGCTTTCTACTCGTCTTTCTCCATCCCTCTTCTCATGTTACCTTGGGGCTTACGGCTGTTTAATGTATGAAACAGTTTCTTACTGTTTTTCATATTTTTTTTATATTTAAGTGGTCAAATAAAATCAAATCAATAATGAATTTTGAGAAAAAATAAATAAATAATAATAATATAGAGAAACGTACACACTTCTCAAATTTGCTGCAAGGCGTATAAGCCTACTCACTGGCAATACTCACTTTGTGCTCTACATATAGTCAAGTTCAGGTCAAGGTTACAGTGAGACAGGTTTGCTTGTACTTGAAGTGATGAGCAAACTCTCTCCCTCCCTCTCTCCATCGGCACACTCACCCTCCTTTTTTAACTTTAATTACCAGCTAATCATTTTGTGTAATTATGTTCAAGGTTGACCTTACATTTTACATATAGTGGTTTAGTGGCAGCTAAAAATGTCATGCTAAAATCTCCATCTTTCTGTGTGTGCATGCATGCACATGTGCCTGTGTGTGTGTGTGTGTGTGTGTGCGTGTGTATGTGTGTTGTAATCATTGAGAGGAGGTTTAAAGTGTATGTATTTGAAGGAACTGGGGTTTTACCTTGCTATTTGGCCTTGATGTAAAGCTCAGCTTCTCCTGCTTCCTGAACGAAGGCATTGTTCTCTTAAACAGCTGTCGTTTTGGCTGATTCAGAACAGATGGCTGTGTGTAAGCGTGTGCATGTGAGTTTGTGTGTGCTGCACGATCACAGTTGGTTGTGATTTGTGTAGGGGGTGATTTGATTTCACAGACTGACTGTGATGTGTGTGAGAAGATGGATCCTAATAATAATGCTGTAAAAAATCACTATTGAATGCTTTTTTTCCTTTGTTCTTCTGCCTACTTGGAATAAAGTTCTGTTGAAACTACTTGTTTAGTTTCTTAATATTGTCCCCTTAATTTCAGATTCAAACATTTTCTCTCACACACACACACACACACACAGAGAGAGAGAGAGAGAAATTAGTAATATTCAGAAATGAAATAGCTGACCATTTGATATCTGTGGCCTAAATCCTATTATTTTTTTTTTATTTATCAGTTTATATTTTTCTTTTAATTAAAATGATTCATTATAAATAATAATAATATGACTACCTTACAAAAAACAATTCAGTCCTGTTAAGGGTTATTGCAACAGCACAGAATACCTGAAGCCAGATAAGCACATTACAACTACAAACTAAAAAAGGGTTTGTGCGAGTCCCTTGACATCATTCTGCCGAGGGCTACACAATTTCTGTCCTCATGTTTATGGCATTCTTTTTTACTTTTTTGTGGTTGTTACACAACCATCATACACAAGCATCGCAGCAGTGTTGTCTTGTTAAGATTAAATGAAATCTGAAAATGAAAAATGTTTTTAAGGGGATGATTCATAAATTCTAATGACTCTAATTATATGCAGTCTTTGTTGAGGAAACCCATGAATGTCCATTTTATACAATTTTAGTTTGTATTTAGAATTAAATCTAAATGCTGTGTGTTGAAGTTTTAGCATGACTAGTTTGACTTTTGTGGTATTTAGACATGATTGAATGTGTTCACAGAAAACCAGTGTGTCCAATAGAGTGTCCTCTTTCTCCATTGTTTACATACCTGGTCAAAAGCGTGATAAACTGACACAGTTAGGAATGCATGGAATTATTTCAATGCATCACATTTCTCTCTGTCTCTTTCTCTTTTTCCGTCTTTCATTCTGCATCACTGGAATTAAAAAGTATATTTTCTTTTCTTTCAGACTGGTGTGCACAAAACATGACCATGTTTTTCGTGAGCATTTGCGTTCTCCGGGCTTAACTGTAAATGATAACTTTCAGCTTTATAATCTTAAGTGACACAAATGTGTTTGATGCAGGGATTTTTATGTAGCAAACTTTGTACATACATAGAATATTTTTTATTTACATGCAGGCAATCATTTGCTGTGTAATGAGTGAGAATGCTTTCTTAATTTAAATGGTGTGTGTGTCTGTTTGAGAATGCATTAGGCGCTGCTGAAGAAGCGTAAGACATATTAATTGACAGACAGGAACTGCTGTCTCTGAGGTTGATACAAGTAATTTATTACTTTAGAAACGAATGCCACCTCCAGAATGTGCTTCATTAATTTCAAATTTAGTTTTAATTTCAAGCTGTTGCCCCTTGAGAAGAATAAGGTGGCAACTTCGGTTTGAAGAGTCATTTTTTCCGTTCTTTTAACGTCTCTTTATTCTTGCTGCACTTTCTTCTCAGAAAGTAAAAAAAGAGAAACATAACTTCATTCCATGTGGCAATGTAATGCAATTGGAAAGCAGAAAAAGAATTACTGCAACACTTTATAATATAAAACATTCTGACCGATTATTTTTCACTACTGGAGAAAACACACTGATGCTTGACATTTCATCAGCTGTCTATCCACCATGCAATGCAGTGTGTTCAATCTTCATTTGGACAATGTGATAACATATTTTCTTCTTGTTTCTTTGTTTTACCTGTAGCATATGTGCCAGAAGAGCTAAAGGAGGGTGCCTTACTCGATGAGGATGTTGAGGGAGAGGATTCAGCATTGGAAGAGGAACCTGCCATGAAGTATGTGTGCCAGGACAAAGACTTGCTCCTTAAAGACAGGCCAGGCTTTCATGACTCTCCACCGGCCGATTTCTCCAGCCATGAGATGGACAGCGAGTCACACCTGAGTGAATCCAGTGACCGCATGTCAGACTTTGAGAGTGCCTCAGTGAAGAACGAAGAAGATATCTCAGCCAAGGAGCCTCTCACCTCTCTTTCTTCAACTTCGTCAATGATGATGACGACAACAGCCACACCAATCAGTGAGGAGATGACGCAATTAGGGCCAGACAGCCTGGAGCAGATGAAAGCTATCTACACTAGTTTCCTGACCAACTCTTACTGGTCATCGCTGAACTTGAATGTGTCTCAGCAACCAGCAGAAAAGCCCCCACGTAGCCACAGTAGTAGCAGCAGCAGTAGTAGCAGCAGCAGTAGCTGTGGTAGTGGTGGTTACGACTGGCACCAGACAGCCATTGCAAAGACTTTGCAGAATGTTTCACAGAACCAGAGTAGACTGATGAACCCAGCCTCTGAGCCAAACCTTTTCAGTACTGTGCAGCTTTATCGGCAGAGCACCAAACTGTATGGCTCCATCTTCACTGGTGCAAGCAAGTTCCGGTGCAAAGACTGCAGTGCCGCCTATGATACTCTGGTTGATCTCACGGTGCACATGAACGAGACGGGCCATTACCGGGATGACAACCATGAGACAGACAGTGAAGGTACCAAGCGCTGGTCAAAGCCTCGCAAGCGTTCCCTCCTGGAGATGGAAGGTAAAGAGGATGCCCAGAAAGTTCTTAAGTGCATGTACTGTGGACATTCCTTTGAGTCACTGCAGGACCTTAGTGTTCACATGATCAAGACGAAACACTACCAGAAAGTGCCTCTCAAGGAACCTGTAACTCCTGTGGCAGCCAAGATTATCTCCTCAGCTCGTAAAAGAGCCCCTATTGAGCTAGAACTCCCCAGCTCACCAGATTCCAATGGCGGCACCCCCAAGCCTTCTTTATCTGACACCAATGACCTTCTGCAAAAGACCCCAAATCCCTACATCACACCCAACAATCGGTATGGACACCAGAACGGTGCTAGTTATGCGTGGCAGTTTGAGTCACGGAAATCCCAGATCCTGAAATGCATGGAGTGTGGTAGCTCGCATGACACACTGCAGGAGCTGACGGCCCATATGATGGTCACGGGACACTTCATCAAGGTCACTAACTCTGCCATTAAGAAAGGCAAACCTATCATGGAGTCGATGTCCATAACGGCTCCTAACACAATACCTACCAATGAAGAAAAGGTACAGTCAGTGCCACTGGCTGCCACCGCATTTTCTCCACCACCACCTGCACCTCCTCCCCCTTGTATTTCTCCTGCCATCACACCCATGGAGATTAAAAAAGAGGAGAAGGAAGTGGAGTGTACCAAGGAGACAAATAATAGCAAAGACAAGAAGGCAACAGAAAGCGAAACCGACGAGAAGTTTGAAGTTTCATCCAAATATCCATATTTGACTGAGAAAGATCTTGAAGAAAGCCCTAAGGGGGGGTTTGACATATTGAAGTCTCTCGAGAATACAGTAACATCTGCCATCAACAAAGCACAGAATGGCACACCCAGCTGGGGAGGCTACCCCAGTATTCACGCTGCCTACCAGCTTCCAAACATTATGAAACTGTCCCTGCGCAACTCAGGGAAAAGTTCTCCCCTGAAGTATATGTTTTCTGGAGAAGAGATTCTGTCTCCTACCAAAAGCCAACCTCTTGTTTCTCCACCTAGCTGCCAAACATCTCCTTTGCCCAAAAACAACTTCCATGCCATGGAGGAGCTAGTTAAAAAAGTCACAGAAAAAGTGGCCAAAGTAGAGGAGAAAATGAGGGATCCTGGAGCCAGGGCCTCCCCACTTAGACGAACCACACCTTCTCCTTGCAGTAGCGATGCAGGCGAATCTGCCAGAGGGGAGTCCCCCAAGGAAAGGAGAGGAGCCAAAACCCCTGAGACTAATGGGGGTGGAAATACTCACAAAGATTCAAATGGTGATGCTCTCACAAAAGAGTCTCTGGAGAATGGCACTGACCATGCTGTCAAAACCTCTGTGTCTACCTTATGCAGCAGCACTGCTATTATAACTGACCATCCTCCAGAGCAGCCATTTGTCAACCCTTTAAGTGCGCTTCAGTCTGTCATGAATGTTCACCTAGGCAAAGCTGCCAAACCTGCCCTGCCATCTCTTGATCCCATGAGCATGCTCTTCAAGATGAGCAACAGCCTGGCAGAGAAGGCAGCTGTAGCTGCATCCACTCCATCTCAGACCAAAAAGAACAATGAGCACCTAGACCGCTATTTCTACCACATCAACAATGACCAGCCTATTGATCTGACCAAAGGCAAGAGCGATAAGAGCAACTCTTTGGGATCTGCTGCCCTGTCCTCCTCCACCTCCACTCCCACCTCAATTTCACCATCATCAACCATCACCATGGCCAAAGCCTCATCTGCTGTGGTTTCCTTCATGTCCAACTCACCTCTGCGAGAGAATGCCCTTTCCGACATCTCTGATATGCTGCGCAACCTAACAGAGAGCCATGCGTCTAAATCCTCAACACCGACGAGTCTTTCAGAGCGCTCGGATATAGATGGATCGACTCCAGAGGAATCAGAGGAAATCTCCCCGCTCAAAAACGGAAGGGCCGGCAATCCAACTGGAATCCTCAGCATCTACTTATCCTTCAGGCACAGTTTGCCTCCAGTTTGCGGCAAACAGGCGATGGCAAGTACATTATGTCGGACCTCAGTCCACAGGAGCGAATGCATATTTCTCGCTTTACTGGGCTCTCAATGACCACCATCAGTCACTGGCTGGCCAACGTCAAATACCAGCTGAGGCGGACAGGTGGCACAAAGTTCTTGAAAAATCTAGACTCTGGCCACCCAGTCTTCTTCTGCAGTGACTGTGCATCACAAATCCGTTCCCCCTCTACCTATGTCAGCCATCTTGAATCACATCTGGGCTTCCGGCTCAGGGACCTGGCCAAGTTATCTGGAGAGCATCTTATTAGCCAGATCTCACGCCACACCAAGGGGCTCTCTGAGAAACTGCTTTCAGCCCAAGTGCATTCTTTGGCCCATTCGATCCCCAACCCCAGTCCTCATTCTCTTTCTCCCTCCCCTTCCCCAGACGAGGAGGCAAATGGCACCTCATATCAGTGTAAACTGTGTAACCGGACTTTTGCCAGCAAGCACGCTGTCAAGCTCCATCTGAGTAAGACCCATGGTAAATCCCCTGAGGACCATCTTATGTATGTTAGTGAACTTGAGAAACCTTAGCAATGGCCAAGGACAAAAACTCTGTCTCTCATCTCTTTATCTCCTGTCCTTTTTTTCAAGCCTTCTGACTAACATTTCTTAAGGAAAAAGAAAGAACTGCAAGTAATTAACGAAGAACTAACTGCACATAGATGCCAAAAAACTACTGTTTAGTTTTGGCACATCATTTGGAGTTTTCCTCTGGGGAGCACTCATTTGGCCCTAGAGACATTCATTTTCTGCATTTTTAGTTCACAAAGGAAAACAGAGAAAATTATGACAATTGATAATTTTCTAACTGTGCAATGCTGAGTGAAGAGGTCACTGGTAAAATATGAAGGTAAATAAAAAAAGACTTAAAATGAAGTTGTATGTATTTGAAAGTTGTGTAAATTGATTTTATTTTTATTTTCTTTTTGGCATCCTTGAGATGCAGTCAGCTGCATGCATTAATGAAATGGTTTAGTTCAATATTTGATAACTAAATCCGGGCTTTTCTTTCTCTCTCTTTACTTCTCTCTTCTTTTTTTTTCTCTTTTTTTTCTTTTTTTACGTGACCTAAGTATGCTGGTGTCAGCAGAAAAAATTTAACCCTCTGAGTACGCCTAAATACTTCTATATTTACAATCCCCCTCCAAAAGTAAATATATATATAGAAAGAGATAAATTAGAGATTGGAAATCAAGTTGATATCTATTTGAGTGGGAAAATTGAAGGGTATTTTGTCTACCCATTAAAAGTTACATCATCTGATATATCACCTCTTATACAGGTTGCAGTGCATAAATATGTGTGAATCCAAAATAGCAGTTTTTTAGTTTGCTCAAATCAGGGGCCTTTATGAATTCAGGTCAGTGTAAAAATGTGTACATAAATACATAAACTAATTTCTGTCTAAATTATGCATCATTTTATATTTTTTAATTTAAGATGAGTATGACTATCTACTGGTGCACAATATATGAAGACATTAATGAAATTGTTTTGCACAATAGTTTTATAAATATGTTATTTAATCAGAAGATATGAAAATGAGAAGAAAAAAAATCACATTTTATTTCCACCTCGTGCTCAAAGGGTTAAACTTATTGTACAAGACAGTACTTGTTCCATCATTTCACTTAAATGGTTGTATAAAAAGATGCTACTTTATAATGTAAGGAGGAATTCCACAATGTAACCTTTTTATTTATAAACACTCTCGTTTGTTGTTTCATATTGTAGAATGCCTTTTTGATTGGTATCTTTTATTTTGTTGTTCTGTCTAATTATTCCTCCATAAAATCACATTGCAGCTTCATCATTTTTGGGGATATGAAAGGTAACCATGGTTACCTTACCTCCAATTGACAGTTCTGCTACGTTTTGGCAGTTAATTTACTGAAGTAACTGACAGCTGCCAGTGAATGGAAATCTTATGTGTAAAATATTGGCATGTTAACAGCACAGGCACTGTTATGCATTCTGTGCTGTTTCTTTTTTGTTGTTGTTGACAATGAAGCTCTCATTATATGACTTCATATAACCTTTTTTCTACTGCAGCATTAAATTGAAATTGTTTTGGTTTTTTGCAATAACTTGATGTGTCATGGCTCACAAGTCTGTCGGGCGCCGGGGGATAAGAAATGAGCAGATTAAAGAGAACTGCTGTCAGTTAAATAGCAGTCGACAAGTGTGTGAAAATATGTTTGTGTGGCGGTAAGGGTAGACCACCGGACCTCTGACAGGCATGAGCGTTTTAAAATCAGCTGTGTGTGTGTGTGTGTGTGTGTGCACGTGCATAGACCTTTGCTGCTGGTCTCACAAACATTAAGTGTTTATCTCTGATGCGACAGACTTTAGTGGTGTCATATATTTTTGGCAGATCTATCCCATCACTCCTCTCATCTAATTCCCTGCCTGGTGACACATCGGCTCGCAACGTCTCCTAATATGGTTTAACTAGGGAAGCATCAGGCGGTGTGAAGAACGATGCGCCATTCCCTATCTACAAAGGAATGTAGCAGATAATTGCTTTGGCATTAACTGTCTCTTTTTCACCATTTTTGTTGTTGTAATTAGCTCAGCTTCCAATTTTGCAGGGACAATTTTGTTTGGGATTCATCCAGGATGACAACAGAATCCCATTTAGAGTTTGACAACAAAATTCTGCACTAAGAGAAAATGGATATGGCATACTGCATGTGCTGATTCCTGGGTTGGTGTTTGTGTATGTGTGTCAAAGAACCTTTCTTAACAGATCAGTGGAGGTAGGGGCATATATAAGAAATATCTCATAATGGTGGGACACTTCCTCAAAAATGGTTTACTCTGTTTGGTTACTGAATATGTTCCTCGTCAGATCTGTCAGAGAGCATTCAACATGCGCACGCGCATACTCAAAGATGCCAGGAGCCAGGTAGAGGGGACATCATGTGTGGTGACAAGGTGCTGCTGCTGTGTGTGAAAATGCCAGCCTTCACAAGCTACCCTGAAGTCTGACGCCATATTTAAGGTGCTCATTAGACGCAAAGAAAACGTGTGTGAAATTGAAAGCCATTTTCTCTCCTCTCTCCCAGCCTGGTGAGCCACCAAACTTGGGGTTATTAAGGTTGAAAACAACTATACATGGAGACATTTAACTATCAAGAAATGCCTACACACTCCCACACAGTCAAATAAACAATATCCCACTCCACCCTGAAACTAATGGCGTCTTTTTAAAATTACTCGAGCTTTAATGATATCCGTGTACAGGACACCGTGTAGGCTGTATCAGTCTCGAGATTGTGTTGCGCTTTGAATTTGACCCAGTTCACGACGGGGAGTAAACAAATTGTAAACAGACATGCACAGCCAAAGGTATGTTTGTGTAGAAAACGTCCCTCATAATTGCTTTGTGCCTAAATACCTCAACAATGAGTATATTTCCCAGGATGTGAGAAGCGTAATTGGTCTGTATACATAATCTGCTCAGAATGAGAGGTTTTACGTGTGCAAGAGCGAACCACACATTGGAGGCTTTATCTCCGTTCCGCCACTACAAAAGACCAGAGTGTCTAAAGCTCAGTGAAACTCTCGAACCAGCCCTCTCCAACACAAATGTATGGTGTGTTGTAATGCTATTGAGCTACTGAGGGACTTTATGTATTGCTGGACTTTTCAGATAAACGAAATTGCGGATTACGCATGGCGGCGGTGGAAATGTGTATTCACACTATCACAAACTAACATGCGCAGACAGTTTTCAGTAGGCCTTTACAATAAGCGGGCACTGGCCATAGCAAATTACAATGACGCAGGCAACGTCCATCCACTCTTCCACAATCGGGCCTGATTGATTCAGTGCTGAGCTGACCCAAGTCTTCACTTTGTCTGTGGATGCCTTTGAGGCGAGCTGTCTCTCTTAACCTGTGTAATTTACATGCACTGTAATTCACTCACCATCTGCAATCTCACCTTGCAAGCGCTCCCATTACAAATGCTAATTTAGTGCACCTTATAAATTCTCTCAATCACACGCTCGTGCGCTAATAATATACACACATGGAAAAACTGGATATTAGCACAAGAAAAAACCCTCCTTTAAATCACGGGCGTGTCCCAATGACCCCAACATTACCCCAACGAGTAATGGAGAGAAAGAACAGGAGGCGTCGTAGCGTTTTGTAATGCACCACCATTGATCTTCGAGCTGTCACGTTCCCAAAGTATCTTAAAATAATGCGTGTGATGAATGTGCGATTTCCCTAATTTACGGGGCCTTGGCGTGCTCCCGGCTACGTGCAGGATAGAAATCTTAAATGGGGCTTGAACGGTTCTTTGCACAACAAGAAATCAATATGCCACACATATTAGGGAACTCGGAGTTAGAGAGTTTAATGCATACTTAAAAGCATTAAACGCACACCTGTAGTCTCAGAATCATCTCACATACATGGTTGGGTGTATGTGTTTGTCATTTATACCTCTTGTCTCCAAGAGCCGGTTGGCTGTCAGTGACTCAGTAAGATGACAAAGGGCATAATGGCGTTGTGCAGCAGTGTGCCATTACAAATGTGATCACCAATCACTCGAGACACAACACACTCCACGCAGGAAAAGGTAATAAGGTCTCACACTCACTCCCTCCTAACCCGCTCACATTCCCACGTGGGCCTGCACGTCTATGAAACAAACATACCGGGGGGAAGAATTATCTACAGTGCAAAAGCAGTTAGTTGCTACAATACAGATGCACACATACGCTGAAGTATTCATCACAAATAGCAGACGTTAAAGCCCACCAACACAGATGAATGAAAAAAAGCCACTATAAAATGCATATAAAAGATGCTGAGGGTGAATCTTTTGTCATGTAACACAATAAAATCTGTCTGAGATGGTTGGGAGCTGCTGATGCCTGCACCATGCTTTCATTTATATACTAATTCATTTTAATTTGCCTTCAAAACAGCCTTACTTCTGTTTGCACTGCACCTATGCCCTAGAGACAAATGGAAATTGTTCATTTTTAATGTTGCCATTCTCAGTACAGTGTGTTCATGGTATTTAGATGCCACAAAGCTGTTATTAGGCTAAATGCTGTGTGAATCAGATCGCTCTTTGGAGAATAAGAATGAAATGGAATTAAAATGTTATAGGTCAGGCAAAGAAAAATAGATAATCTATGTCTTTATGTCTATCTACCCCAGTGAAAGAAAAAAAAAACTATACCAAAATGTATTTAAAATGCATTCATACTAAGTATACTACAAATTCATCAACATATTTACTGAGATGAGACCTACTGATATAAATATTAATTAAAGTTTATTTTGGAGTACTTCTTTATTGCACAATGCGCAGTTCTTAATATAGCCTAAATTATGTTGGTTTTTTTTTATTTATTTATTTATTTATTTTATTTCACTATTAGTAAGGATAGTATGATATAATATCAGTCTTTAATTGCAAGATATTTGAATTGCACCTAGTGTAGTTGCAATAGCAATAATTTCAGCACAATCAAATATACTTAAGTGTATCTTTAGCTGAACCTCAGCACTATTTCTGGATAACTTAAAGCATTAAGTACAAAATTAGTTCCAATTTAATAGACTTTTTGTCTACCAATTTAGTATAGTTTAGTATGTATTTTTAGTATACTTAACATAAAATACATGTATTTCAAATACATTTTGGTGTATATATATTTTTTTTTTCTCTACGGTACTATCCTGTCATTAATGTGGTGACATCATCATTAGTTGAAGAGTTAAATAAACATAGCCCTGACATGGCCCTCTTGTCCTGTCACTCACCTCTGACCTTTGACCCGATTATGGGGCTGAATGGCAGAAGTTGAATGTATCCACAACCTCTGCTTCTCAGCATTTCCAAGTAACATTTAGCAGAAAGTAATTCACAAGAAAAAATAATAATAAAGACTTAATATCGAAAAAGTTTTACAAGGCAAAGAGGACCTATTGAATTTGTATTTTTTTAAAAAGTATCTGTTTTTCTGTTTGTTGCTTTCCTTGTATTGCTTTTTTAACACTGTGTTGGGGATGATTGGCAATGTTGGTTAATACATTAATATATACTTTATTTTCGTTCTTTTCTTTTCTATTTAATATCTATTGTGTACTGTGTTAGACTAAACCGGGAAGGCTTACAGAATGTGCATAGTGTTGCCCAACTGTTAGTTTATTTGTTTTTTATTGCTCTCCTCATTTAAGTGTCTGCTAAATGATTTAATGTAAATGGTAAATATACTGATTAAGAAAAATATATTCATGAATTAGCATCATTGACACATGTTTGTGCATACTATTTCATCTTTCTTCTTTTCCTTTTTACATCTCCACAGTTATTTGAAATCTGACGTTTCATAATGTTAAATTATTGTTTGGTTGAGTAGAAGTAAGGATACAGAAGTTCAATTCAATCTCTACAAGTAAAATTGAACAGAGAATATGTTATGAAATGAACTGTTTTAAATGTGAAGAAAAGGATATGAAATAAACAGTTTTATATAGAAAGGAAAGGAAAGGAAAGGAAAGGAAAGGAAAGGAAAGGAAAGGAAAGGAAAGGAAAGGAAAGGAAAGCTCTGAGAGTGTCGCTTGAGGGCAGTCAGGGAAGTGATGTGAGCTGGTTGTCTGTGTTTGGCTTGCTGATGTTGGAGGGTTTGTTGCCCTGGGGCTCAGACTAAAGAAGACCTCTCAGAAAGGTCAGAGGTGAATCTTCTAAAGCGGGGTGATAAGGGAAAGTGCTTAGTGCCATTTAACCTGAACACCCCTCACTGCTCCATAAACACACACATACACACACACATTAAATGTTACCCCCACCTTTAATAGAATAACAGAATTAAGAGGTCAGCACGACCAAACTATAGTGAGTGTCATATTTTGTTAAATGGCAGGGGCGGTGATCAGCCTAAGGGTGTTTTTTTTTTTTTTTTCTTGAACAGTGAAATAAATAAACACTACACGTGAAAATGTGTGAATAGTTTAAGTTAATAAGCTATGTGTTTATTAAAAAAGTTTGATATATATAAAATTTGATATATTTTTATTATACAGTTTAATTAATTTATTAATAGATCATCTCTATA